TTTGAACCATACACTTGTTAACACTCATCATATTTCTATACATTCACAAATTACCATTTTTCATTTACTCTGGGCTTGATACCAGACCTTTTGCATTAGTTCTTGCAAACTTGATAGGCCTTCATCAAGACTTTCTGAACTATCTTTTGTAGGCCTAACATAGCTTCATTAAGAACTTCTAAATCCTAACTGCCTCTCAAGTATACACTAGGATCTTAGACCTCATTGCACAAGCTCAAGTATTCATGAACTAGCATCTGAACTTTGACATTTTTTCTCTCATCCGGTCTTGGGTGAATTATTTACAATAGAAGGTTGAAGTGGAAAACTAATTCTTCTATGTAAAACTCTTGGCATACTATCAAGGAAGCCTTTTTAATGTGTTAAAAGGCCTGAAATGTTGATCACGTTTGAAACTACCATTAGGCCTTTTCAAACATTCTGAAAGGCCAAGACTCCTACATGAAAGCCCTATTCCATTATAAGGCCTATTCATTGGGCTAGAATGTTTAAAGTACTTTTTAGGTTTGAGTGATGTTATGTCTTTTCAAAACTTCTGAAGGGCCAAGACTCCAAATAGGCTCTTGAAACATGGGATAACTTGCAATTTTTTTCATTTGAATAATGAAATTTATTATGGGCCAAACTTTCTTACTTGATTTATACTCTTTGCTTCCTTTAATACATCCTTTGAGATTTTTCACGAATCAATTTGGAGAATGGAGATGTTTGTTCGACCTATGAAATACTTCATGCGACTTGAGGCTTTTTGCAATCACCTTCTTGTTTTTGCGTAAGCCATGTAAACAATATTCGCTTTTGATGTGCCCTACAAACTCAATGTGGGTATAAGTTTTCATGTATTGAGCCAAAAGTTAGTATAATACATGTAATGCCTTTCAATTTTTTGAGAATTGTCATAAAGGTCTTCATCTAATAGAAGATGAGAAGATTGCTCACGACCTTCTATGAAATAAGGATCAAAATTACGACACCTAGCTGGAATATCATCCATTTTTCCAACTGTATATTGCTCTGTTGTACATCTTTTAAAAGAAAACTTTGTTGGATATTTTGGTATATATTTCATTTTACCTTGAGCTTAACTCTTGACTTGATTTCATAGTTGACTTGAGGTTCAACTCTGACTTGGTCATGGAGATGAAGTTGAAATAGAAAGAAATGAAGAAGTGCAAAATTTCTATTTTTAAATTATAAAATGGTAAACATATATTATTTGTACAAAAAAAAATAAAAAATATTCGGGTCCTGTTGGGCTAAATTGCAAAATTTGGTGAAATCAAGAGCTAAAACGAAATTAATAAGAATCTATAATTTTTAAAAATTAGGGTCTCTACACACCTGACACATTTAATATGAGTTTCGGGAGTATGGATGAAAAATAAGAGTGTAGAAACACCTCAGAAACAATTGAACTTATGCAGGTGAGGACAAATGCGTGGCGGGATTTTCCAACTTGTGCGGATTGGTGCAGTATAGGAGGGGAAATTCTGGCACGGGTAGTGTGGGTCTTGCAAGTGTAGCTGAAGGTGGTGCATGTGCGGTGGAGATGCACTTCTGAGGTTTGGGACTACGCGAAACCACAGGTGCGGTTAAAGGCCCCACACTTGTGACCAAGGCTAGTGTGGTGTAACGCCCCAAATTATTTAAATTAAAAATAATACTCAATACATGATTAACGCAAAATCTTGCAATATCATTGAATAATATTGGCTTAAAAATCCTCTTTCTCATTGAACTATACATAAAAAATTTACAACCTTGCATGTTCATGTCTTAGTTACATCATCAATACTATAGTTCAAGAAGCTAGATGACACAAAAATGTCCTAATGGCTTACAAAAATCAAGGCGAAGCCTTGTTACAACAAAATGGAGGTGCAGTCCCGAAACACAATAGCTCGGAGCTTCCATATAATATATCCACGAGCCTTCGTGCTCTAATCAAAACAAAAATCCACCTCTTTTTCATTGGGATGGTTGCACATCATCGAGTACTAAAAATGTTAGATAGGAAGGAGCTAGATGCCCAGTAGAAATACTTTTAGCCGAGTATCTAATTATCCGAAGAATCTATATGGCATTATCACAACCCAAATCACATTGTATTGCATTCATGTTGAAGATTTAAGAAAAGATACACAGATAGAATTGTGTCACCAAAGCCACATCTAATACCCGGGGTAAATATGCCATGACGCTCCTAAAAGGAGTCCCAATACATATACATATAGATTTATATCCAAAAATATCTACACATTTTTCGGCTATTAATACGGTAGGGAATGGGCCCCCAAAACCATCAGTTTTTCCACTTTTACCGATTACAATACGGTAAAACCAGTAGACACCCAAAAATATTTTTTCCACATTTATCCAGCGATAAGCTTAAGACAAGGCAATTGGGTACCTAGACTTTCCCCCGCTCGAGTACTAATAACAGAACAGTTTCCAAAACTGACTCCTTTCCCGAACTCACATGCTATTTACCACTCCCTTGCACAGCCTTTCCAAACTTCCAAGAATTTGTCCATTCATGAGATAAAGAGTAAATTTCACCATTCAAGAACTTGAAATGAATATGGAGAAACAATCTTCATAATTCAAAAGTAAATCTCAAGAGTTACCGATTTCATAAGCCTCAAATCAATGTACCTCATCAAAATCTCATAATTCATTCATCAATTTAAAGAATTGAAAATCTATTCCATTTAATCACGTCCTTCCTCAATTTCAACAGTTAGGGTTTTCATAAAATTTGGAGTTTTTGCCCCTCCATCATGTTAAATACTATTTCTTAACCAAGATCTCCATAATGCATAGCCATTATTAGAATCTTAAGAAAGTGTAAAGAAAATTCCATTTTTGAAAACAAAAATCCAATTTTGTAAAATCAAACATTTACTTATAGCATCAATGTCATAATAGCATCACATAAACATCCTCAATATGAAGAGATACATGATTAAAGTAATCCTCCCTCAAAGATGAAAGTAGAGAAGCTATATCAAGAAGATTCCTTCGAAAAATCCAAACCCAATCAGTGGAAAGGCACAATCTTCACGTAGACTTCGATTTTTGTAAAGAATGAAGGTGTAGATTTTAGTAGAATGAGAGATTTCTAGAGTGAGAGAACTAGGGCTTTTGAAGCTAAAGAGAGAGACTAGAAAGAAGAAAAGAAAAAGTTGATAGAAATGATCTAAAAAACAACTTTTAAGTTGCTGAAATCGCACATACCTCTCGAGCTGTGAACTTAAACTCTCTGTATTTTAGCATACAAAACGAGATTCTAGGAAGCCCTAATCTTTGCTCGAGTGGTAACTTGATAGCTCGAGCGATCCTCTTTTCCACCTGACCTGTAAAACCAACTACTAGAAGTCTCATATCTCTGCTTGAGCGGTCACATAGAATGAATTGTCACAATCTCCATCTCTTAAGGAATTTTGCCCCCGAAATAACATCAATTCACAACGGCACAACAACAACATACTAATGACACACTAATTACAAGTCACCAACAATCCCAAATAGAAAATGGATAACTTTTAATGAGGGATACATGGAAGATATATTAGAAAAAGCATATTACTTCTAGTTTACTATACGTTAAAGGAGAAAACGAAACAAAAGGAAAGATTACATATTATCAAATAAATCCGGGTATTTCTTGCAAACTTCAACCTCATACTCCCAAGTTGCTTCCTCAATTCCGTGATGACGCCATAGCACTTTAACTAACAAAATGGTCTTACCCCTTAATGCTTGTTCTCGGGTGTCTAAAATTTTGATTGGTCTCTCTTCATAAGATACATCCTCCTCAACCTCAATATCCGTCCAATCTAACACATGGGAAGGGTTAGGCTGGTATTTACGAAGCATTGACACATGGAACAAATCTTGTACTTCGAAGAGTTGTGGTGGTAAGGCAAGACGATATGCAACCTCTCGTACTCGTTCTATAATGTCAAACGGACCGATAGATAATTTTTCGCTCCGACCAAACCTCATTAACCCCCTCCTAGGTGAGATTTTCAAAAACACGTGATCTTCTACCTCAAAGGACAACGGCCCCTACCTCCGGTTAGCATAACTCTTCTAACGACTTTGAGCCTTGACTAATCTCTTCCGAATGAGAGCCACTTTCTCGGTGGTCTCGCTTTTGTTGTAGTGATAGGTGAATCCCTTATCTCGGCACAACAAACCGGTGACCTATAAGGATGCCCGTAAAGAGCTTCAAAAGATTCCATCTCAATGCTAGCTCGATAGTTATAATTATAGGCAAACTCGGCTAATGGTAAATGCTTCTCCCAAGACCCTTTGAAGTCTAACACACAAGCCCTTAACATATCTTCTAGAATCTGAATGGTATGTTATGACTGCCCATCAGTCTATGGGTGATACGTGGTGCTAAAGTTCAATTGAGTACCCATGGCACTCTGAACACTTTGCCATAACTGGTTGGTGAAACGATGATCTCTATCCAAACCTATACTCACTAAAACTCTATGGAGTCAGATAATCTCACGAATATAAAATTCGGCTAAGTATTCAACAGAATCTCCTACACTTATGGCAAGAAAGTGTGCTGACTTAGTGAGCCGGTCCACAATCACCCAAATCATGTCATTACCCCCTTTGAGTTCTAGGAGGGCCCGCAATGAAGTCCGTGATGACTTGCTCCCATTTTCACTCGGCAATCGATAAAGGTTGTAATAATCTCACGGGTTTCTGATGTTCGGCCTTGACTTGTTGGTAGGTTAAACACTTAGACACAAATGAGGCTACATCCATCTTCATATCCCTTCACCAAAATTGACAACTAAGATCGTGGTACATTTTTGTGCCTCTTGGATGTATCTCAAGGTGAGAGTAATGGAATTCTCGAAGCACGTCATCTCTAATAGGCTTAAGTACAAACAAATGTTCAAGATAATGAATGCTCGAATCGGTATGAATGTTTAAACCTTCTTTAAACACGGAAACAAATTCTTTCATGGGACGAGTGCTCATCCAACTACACAAGAAAAATTAAATAACACTAGACTGGTAAAAGACCGGCGCATTCCTCCAACATGTGAATAACAGTAGACTGTGTGATGATGATATCAATCTTCCTTTCTCCTAGATCGACCACAGGAACACTCTTCATTCTATACTTAGTAGCAAAAGCATGGTAAAAAAGGAGTTAGATTGCAAACGCCATTAATTTAAAAAGATTTTTATTCGTAATATATGAAACTAAACATAGACAGAAGCATCTTCCCTATTACACCCATGTCCATCATTTAAAAGAAGCAATTCATTTATTTATAGTGTATCTTTAATATCTATATGTTTAGATATATTTTTATGTATCAAAAATTAAAACAGAATCTTTACGGTTTGCAACCCAAATCGATTCACAATTCAACAAAAAGGAAATTTCGATTCATAATTTGACAATTATGATTCAAATCACTTTGTAACTCGGATGAAAAAATAAATTAATTAAAAAAAAGAAGGAACTAACATAAAGAACAGAGAGTACCTAATCACAAACTATTACTGTGTGTGGACCAAATCCAGATTTTCTAAACTGATAACCTCTGCATAAAGCAAGTTGAAAAACATCAACCTCTAGATAAACCAACAAATGAAGAACATTAAAAAAAAAAAAAAGGGAAAGAAAGAAAGATGATATTAGCTAAAGGTAAAGTTTAATATAAGCACAATGTCAAACTCAGAATGAACAGCAATAAAAATCATGAAGAAAATCTAAGGATTGATAATTAATCTTGCATAGCGTAACCAGTACCTGCACAAAACACATGCAATGACCTCAACATATTCTGGATTTTTGACAATTCGAATGCAGCGCTTGGTTATCTATTCAGTAAGATCAACTCCTAAAACTCTTCTAGCTGGTACAACATTAGCATTATGCTCCACAAACTTCTCCCTTTGGAACATGTTCTGGCAATATTTACAATACCATTTACCACGAGGAATGCTCGACAATGATGCACATTCTGCATAGGTCAGTAAGAATGTACATCAAAATCACTCACGTTGACCACCACCATGGAACCAATTCAGAAAGGCAACTAGTACAGCACAGGAAAGCAGTCTAAAAATCAAGTAAAAGAAGCAAACAGGAATGGCATTTTATTGCACAATTCTTAAATTCAGGTACAAAATGTCAGAAGTCTGGCATTTTCTACAGAGTACCTTCAGAGTGTTACTGTTTACATGAATCCCACTACTCTGATTTGTGATTTTAGAAGATAGTTTATTTGCTCCTCTTAATTCTAACTAGAGGCTTCACAGATATCAATTAATGAACAAAATTTAAATTTAATATGTTAAAAAAAGGCTTAGTTTGCTCATAACACTCATCATAAGGGCATCCATCCATCCTTGCAAGAATAGCCTCTTTAGTTTCTCCAAAGTGCCTAGAATTATGTTACAGGGACACCTCAAAATGCATAATCAAACTCTGTTGAACACAACATGACACTGATACTATCTTAATATGTTCATTTTCCTGACATATTGAGACTTTGAGATGAATGAGGTACTCATATTAAGTGCCTGTAAGCTAAGAACACAAGTTTTACCCTAGGGTATAGGAGAACAAAAGTTGGAAACTCTTGGATTTGTAGAGGAAAAAGAAAAAGGGAAGGGAAAAGTGAATGAAATAGAAGCAAAATTTTTCCACAAATTTCTTCCCTTTCCTTTTCCCTTCACAAATCCAAGATCCAAACACAACATTAGTGTTATGTATCCTTGTGTCCAAAGGTTTATAAATTTGATGGATCCTTCACCAAGAGACCCCATTTCTGTCGAGTTCCATTAAACATACACCTATATCAACTAGAAAGATAGGAACCATGTAAGATGCACAAAGTGTGTCATGTAACAATGAAAGATTGTTATTCGTAATATATGAAACTAAACATAGACAGAAGCATCTTCCCTATTACACCCATGTCCATCATTTAAAAGAAGCAATTCATTTATTTATAGTGTATCTTTAATATCTATATGTTTAGATATATTTTTATGTATCAAAAATTAAAACAGAATCTTTACGGTTTGCAACCCAAATCAATTCACAATTCAACAAAAAGGAAATTTCGATTCATAACTTGACAATTATGATTCAAATCACTTTGTAACTCAGATGAAAAAAGAAATTAATTAAAAAAAAGAAGGAACTAACATAAAGAACAGAGAGTACCTAATCACAAACTATTACTGTGTGTGGACCAAATCCAGATTTTCTAAACTGATAACCTCTGCATAAAGCAAGTTGAAAAACATCAACCTCTAGATAAACCAACAAATGAAGAACATTAAAAAAAAAAAAAAAAAAAGGGAAAGAAAGAAAGATGATATTAGCTAAAGGTAAAGTTTAATATAAGCACAATGTCAAACTCAGAATGAACAGCAATAAAAATCATGAAGAAAATCTAAGGATTGATAATTAATCTTGCATAGCGTAACCAGTACCTGCACAAAACACATGCAATGACCTCAGCATATTCTGGATTTTTGACAATTCGAATGCAGCGCTTGGTTATCTATTCAATAAGATCAACTCCTAAAACTCTTCTAGCTGCTACAACATTAGCATTATGCTCCACAAACTTCTCCCTTTGGAACATGTTCTGGCAATATTTACAATACCATTTACCACGAGGAATGCTCGACAGTGATGCACATTCTGCATAGGTCAGTAAGAATGTGCATCAAGATCACTCACGTTGACCACCACCATGGAACCAATTCAGAAAGGCAACTAGTACAGCACAGGAAAGCAGTCTAAAAATCAAGTAAAAAAAGCAAACAGGAATGGCATTTTATTGCACAATTCTTAAATTCAGGTACAAAATGTCAGAAGTCTGGCATTTTCTACAAAGTACCTTCAGAGTGCTACTGTTTACATGAATCCCACTACTCTGATTTGTGATTTTAGAAGATGGTTTATTTGCTCCTCTTAATTCTAACTTGAGGCTTCACAGATATCAATTAATGAACAAAATTTAAATTTAATAATTTAAAAAAAGGCTCAGTTTGCGCCATTAGTTATGTACTTCAGAAAACTCATATCATTCATTGTGGCTGCTGTTGTTGAAGCCTTTCTATTACCTCTGCTTGGTGGGCTACAACCTCGGCTTGGTAAGCTGTGGTCTCAGCTTGTCGGGCAGCATCTAGCTGCACGTTCTCAATAGTCTGCTGGAGTTGGCGAAACATATCTTCCATGTTGACTGGAAGATTTTGAACTACCGGAACTGGCGAATATCCTCTGTCTGGAGTAGAAGTCGATAATTGGGCCTGACTAGGCACAGGTAAGGTAAAAGGTGATTGCTGAATTTGCGAATTCTGTCGAATCCTCCTCCGTCTAGTAACCGGCGAGAGTTACACAAACATTGGTTGTCCCCTGACTAGATCCCTAGATCTACAAATCCTTCTAACTCGAGTCCAGAGTGCTTGGGGGGTAACAAAATCGTCTGAAGCAATGGTGAAAGACTACCTTGCAAAAAGAAAATAAAGTAAAAAGAAACAAAAAATAGAAACCGCACATCACCTTGGCTCATACAGAAACAACACGTAGTTGCAATCATAAGCTGGAGAACTATACTAAAACACTAATTTTTGCCCCAAAACTGATACCCAGACTTGCAACTGATACATACATTCCTGCAGAGTTTCACTCTAAAAGCACGTATCAAGTAAGTGAGAGCCAAAACACCTCTATGATGGGGTAGGGTTACCCTATCCTAATTTCGTCAGGAGCTAGGGTTCACTACTGAAGCAAAGTGTTTCACACAATCCTGAACTCAAGTGAGCAACTGTCCTTGTTTGGAACAATCTCTACGGCTTCCGATATGCAACTAGGCTAATTGGTCAAAAAGGGTACCTCAGCAAGACTACCTAATATACCTCTTACACCTAACATCGAGAAGTGAAAAGAGGATCAAACAGTATAGCGGTAGTCCAGATCCAAGGGTTGTGTTCCCATCGTGGCAGAGCCCGCAACCGGTCAGCCTTTTGGCAAGCTTTTCCAAGCAAGCCTTTAGCAAATCGTTCAAGAATAGCAGATGGCAAACACTGTGACTTAAGTGCACTAATTCAAATGCAAATGCAAAGAAAAACATAAGTGTAGATAAAACAACATATCATGAGTTCGAGTCAAGTTCTCTAAATCCCCAGCGGAGTCGCCAAAAACTATGGACTTGCCTTTTTTCGCGCCCCGCCATTCGGAAAGGTTTGAAAAAAAAAGTCTCATAGTTCGAACTCCCGTGGTTCTGAATCTAATCTCACAAGTGCAATGTGAAATTGATAAACACCAAAGAGTCCAAATCTGGCAAATCATTTTCGAAAACTGATTTTAAATCAAATAATGCCAAAATTGGACTGCTTTGCCATATACAGAGTTGCCACCTAAATATTTTATCTTTGGGAAAATTTAGGAAACCCTAACTCATGCCGAAGGCGACGTGTCCGTCATCACCAAAGTTGCCTCGGCTCAGGAACTTGGGTACGATGGGGGAAGGTCATGAATTGAGCACCCCCGCTCACCCAATCAAAGATCGGCCTCAACTAATCATGATATGAGTTTTTATATACATTATGTGTTCTTGTTCCAGTTATTAGACTAGCTTTACTATGTGACGCACACAACCAAGTACAGACTACTTTGCTCAATTTGGAACAATTCAGCTCAAGTTTGTTTGCGAAAATGGTTTGAATTTGCCACCTCAAGTGGGCTTAAAGACGCGGATTTGCCACCAAACATAGTGGGCTTAAAACAAGATTTGCCACTCAACAAAGTGGGATTAAAACGCATATTCATTGAATCATTCCAATTAAAACAATAAGCCTTCATCCACAGGCATTCATACAGTTTAGCAAGTAAGCACATAGTCTCATGGCAAGCATGCAAAACATGACATCATGGAAATCACACTCACGCAAGTATGCTAAAGCGTAAAAGCTTACCGAGTACTCCAAGCTAAAAGAGAAACTAGTTAGAAAGATGCATGATCCTAACTATACAAGATGCCTAATGCAACACATACAAAGAATGCAATTAATAGGCTTAGCTACTAATATAGCATATGAATCGATTTGAACAACATGCGATAAACACGTATTCAAAGAAGATATTGAAATTGCAATGCACTTTGAATGATGCACCGAGCCTCGGTACATGCAAGACAAAATGAATGGATGCAAGCATGCAAGCATAAGGTATGCTAATTGAAAATGTCCCTAATCTAACCATCGAAAGCGATTAAATAAAAGGGAAAAAGACGTGGGGTTGGAAGACATACACACATGCACGCACACTTATTACAATATTACGCCCTCGTGAAGGAGGGTTCGAATGAATAAGCTAACCAACTAACTACGCTAATTAAGCTAACTAATTATTACAAATTGAATTAATTAACTATTCTAGTTAACTAATTATTACAAATTGAAATTGAATAACTAATTAAGATAACTAATTATTTACAACACTTAATTAGCTACAACTAATTAATTACAGCATACATTGAAACTACATATTTAAACACTAAATAAGCTTAAAATGCAAGGGAGGCTCATGCACGCGCTCGGTTTCCACCCGAAAAGACACTGCCTTGCTACTAAATGCCTCTGTTTGCACATCTGAACACCAAAGAAGTTGTCCACTTCCAGAACACCTTTGCTCCACCTCAGGAACACACTGCGTAAATTTCATTGGTGGTCAACAAGGGGCCTGTCGGCTACCAATGGTGGCCGGTCAATTATCACTAGTGGCCAGTCGGCTGCTAGTGGTGGCCGGTTGGCCACTGATGATATGAACTCTTCTTTTTGCTGCAACAGAGAGAAGACAGAGCAAAACAGTGTATTCTCACAGATTATTTGCACACTTTGCCTCTCCTTTTCATGGGGAAATCAAAGGAGGGACAAAATTTGGGTTTACAAACTACCAATCAAGCAATTTCATTACATGATATCTTGTGGAACCAATTGTGCAAGTTCAATAAATATAAAATGAGACCAAAACACCATCACCGTATCATGCATGATCAAGGGCAATGGTGACCAAGGAAAATGACACATTTCATCACTTTTGAGCATGAAATGTCTCATTTTCCTTGTGTTCAAACTAACGTCCGATTTGAACACATGCAAAGCAACACAAAAGAGGCTTATCTTGCCTCTTTTACTTATCCAATTTTGTTTACTCATTTTAATTACGAAAACCATTCTTTAATTGATTTTTCCATTAGTGAGTGTCCTCTAATGGAAAGATGGCTCAAACCACAAGGTGCTTTGGGCATGAAAGAGGCATCACACTGTTGGTAATGAATGCCCTAAGGGATTAAACCATTAGGTGTAGCACCTCCATTTCACACTAAGGCAAACAAGGGGTTTAAAACCACTTTCAAAGTAAACAAAAGAGTGAAGAATTGAAGGAGATTGCAGAGATTAAAGTGCTGAAATGCAAAACAACACTAAAACATGCTATTAACTCAAAACAATGGTGATTAAAGCATTAAAACACTAAGCTAGTGAAGGAAATTACACTACAACCATGCAATACAAGACTCAAATGAACTAGCTAGCCCAAAACAGAGCTAAAGCAGGCTATTTTAGAGGCTAAAACATGCTGGACTTAAGCTACAAAAAGCTAAAACAATAAGCTAATACATGAGGCTAACTAGGCATGTAAACAAAACACAAGGAGGGGAGGCTAACCCCTCCAATTTTGGACTTCAAAAGTTGATTTTTGTTTACTAAAAAACCTCTGAAATTTAGTGGTTGAAAGGCCCAAAAATGTTGGTTTAAAAGTGATGAATAATAGCACAAGAGCTTAACAAACAAAGGAGCAAGAAGGGTGGACCACCCCCTAACTCAAAATAGCCTCAAACCACCACTTTTAAGTCACAAAAATAGAGTTTTTGACAGTTCAAAATCAGCCCAAAAATAATTGAAATAGATGGCAAAACAAAGATACAAAACAAGTATAAATAAGGTAAGTACTATACCTTTGAAGCCAAGCACAAAATAGCCAATAATCTAAGCTCAAACCACCTTCTAGAGCTCAAACAAGACTCCAAGTAATCTCAGCCCAAAGGTGAGAGTATTTGGTTAAGGGTTGGTATGCAAAAGCTAAGGACTTGTGAGCAAATGTATACCAAATATCAAAAGAGAGAGAGAGAGAATTCTAGAGAGAGATATTTTTGCTCTAAAATTTCTAACCCTAAAAAATGGGGAAAGAACCCCCCTATATATAGAAAAACCACCCCTTGAGCTTAGAAACATCTCACCATACATGTGTATGGAGATGTTGCTCAGTGTGCAATAGCTGGCACAGCTGTCAATAAACATCTGGAAACCACTGATAACCGACCGGCTACCACTGGTGGCCGACCAAAACATCTCATGGCTTTGGGTGGTGGCCGATAGGTCACCAAGAGGTCCAAACTCCAAGTTTTGGTCTGAAACAAGGCACAGAAAGAACAAGGTTTAAAGGCTCAAAGACAGGGCATTCCGCCGAAGACTTCAAGCGCTCAAAACGTACACAAGAACACAATCA